GGGTGAAGATTCACCAAGTAACCGAGGTTTCAAGTATTCCAGTGTTCGGCATCACATCCAGTTCATCCGATTGCGAGAGCAACTAGAGCGCATTTAAGCACGTAACTCGTTACTTGCTTGGTTTTCACTTTTCTAAAATCTAAATTGTAGAGAAACAGAAATCTATTGGCCATTGGTTAAGTAAAGTCTTCCTCCTTTGCATGTTTTCTAGTCTTATATCACAACTCCATAGCAAAAACAAAAAAAAGAGTGGAAAGTAGATCCACAATCAGAGTGCGTGTTCGAGGGTGAAGACCTTACTTGGTTGGATGTCGAGCAAGCTTCATGGGGTGAAGAAGAAGGCCCATCACTACATGGCTGAAAAAGAAGGCCCAGCACTACATTGCAAAGGAGGAGCGTTGGGTCCAATACCACACGCCCACACCAGTTCAGAGATTGAGGAGGAGAAGGACTCAGAGGAGACTGAGGAATAAGTATATGTGTAGGGGGCTATGATGATGGCTCTATAGTTTCGCCTTCCAATGTAGAACTGGGAGATGCACGTGACAGATCATCCTATGGCTTATCTAACTGAGAGTTGAGAGTTGAGACATGGAGTATATTTATTATTTTTTATTTTATATGTCATGAACTTTTGGTCTTTGGAGTCTGAAATTTTCAATGTTAAACTATATGTACTTGTGATTGTGAAGTACTTTTGATCTTTGGATGTTATATCATGACTGTTTAACATTTTGGGTTTTATTAAATCAAGATGGAATGGATTAGTTATACATGTTAATTATATTAGACTATTTGAGAATGGAAACAACAAACTTTGTTAGTTACTCTTTACCAACAATCTATAGGTGACTCAAACAACTAATATATTAGATAAAAGTACAAGATTAAAATGCCAGTAAATACATAAATAAATAAATAAATATATATATATATATATATATCTTCCTATGCTTCTTATATTTATATAATTTTTACAAATTTTTAAAATGTTATTGAACGTATCGGAAGTATGTATCGGGACCACATTGAACCGCATAGTGCATGGAACCCCAAAAAAAGCATCAAGTCTGCATCCCTCATTTGATAACAGTACAAGAAACTTTATGTTTCTCCCAATGCAGGTCAATCATGGTATTTGACGACATAAACAAGGATATATCCCAATCAAACTTTAAGAACGCAACGAAGCGAAAGAACACTGTTTCAAAAAACGGTCCACCCGTCGTCTAGGTACTCTAAGCGAGACCAAGGCGCACACCCAAGTGGCCTAGACAGGCGTCGAGGACCTACACCTTTTTTTGGTACTTTGGGTCATTTTTGACCCACGATTTTTTCATGAAAGGCCTTTGAGGGTATTCTAAACCCCCGAAGTCAAAAAAATATTGGAATGTAAGTGCCAAATCTATTGACTTTGAGATCTCCTTGAATCAGGAAAAAAATCTCAGATTATTTAAGTTTTTTCACTAAATCGAAAAAAATCTTAAGTTTTTTCTAAGTCTCAAATCCATGAACTTTTTTAAGTTTTTTCATTAAAATTTCTATGATTTGAAGTTTTGAACATGTTTCTTCTTAACGTGCGATGTGCTTGTATGAAAAAGGTTAGTTCCAACTTCGGATACATATAGATGCAAAAAATTGCAAAGGTAACATAGATATATGCATATAGGTGTGCTTGGACAGCACATATATGCATATATCTGGGCCCCAGAACGGCCACCTAGAGTTTTTTGAAACCATGGCGAAAAATTAAGAAATTTGTTGAAGAGTGTGACATTTCCATAAGAACAAACGTGAAATGATAACATATCCCTGGTTAATATAGGTACTCCCAAAAGCTAATCATATTTGGACAGACATCTCCATGGACTGCATAAAAGAATTATCAAATTCACATGGCAAGTACATGATCAAAGTGGTGGTCAAAAACCTATCAAAATATGCTCATTTTTTCCCTTTATCTCATCTGCACACTGCCTCTACCAGTTTTCAAAAAGTCAGCCGAGTAGTTTCTACTCAGCTCGGGCCCTTGCCGAGCCCGAGTTGTCCCAAGTTGGAGGTCCAATTCGGTGGTCATAAAAAACACTATAGAAAATTCCTAAAAAATAAGAAATATATTTGTAACATGTTTATTTATGTTTTCTATCATTTTGGCAAAGATTGGAAAGTATTTTGGCCATGGATACTTATTTTACATCTACCCAACCCCGGACACAAACTCATTTTTTAAAATCTATTTTTTTGCTAACTTTTTAACCGCAATTAGTTGTCTTTTATTAAATTTTACTTGAATGCATTTTTCCTTTGTTTTGGGACTCTATGTATTTTTATTTTTTTGGTAATTTCCAGGCGCTACAGTACTCGGCCCTACTCGGGCCAAGTTACCCCGACTCAGGTGAGTACTCAATTGGGGCATTGGGTCGAGTAGTAGGCCCGCGTCAACTTTTCCAACACTAGCCTCTACTATTGCTTAAGTTATTGTGGATCAGATTTTTAAGTTGAATGGTATGCCCTATCTAGTATCTTACGACTCGGCTCGTCCACAAAAATCAATCCCTTGCCTGGCCAAGTTACCCTCACCAAGACTGCACTGAGCCATCCAAGGAGATAAAAAAAAATAAAAAAGAAAAAAAAGTTGCAAAAAGTAGAAAATAAAAGTCCACAAACCCTACAAAATAAAAAAAGTAGGGTTATTGATTGAGAAAGAAGAAAAAAGAGTACGTGTAGGGCTGAGTTTTGTCTTAGGCTGGGGGATGACAAGGTTGAGTTGCAAGCATTCAGTTGGAAGGGCATGTGTGTGGAATATAGGCCAAAAATTTGCAGAGTGGTTGGAAGGGCACACGTGGGTGGAGAGGCCAACTGGCAATTGAAGAGCGACCTTGGTAGCATGATTGTAAAAACAAGGCTTCAATAGGATATATAGTATCGTGTATGTCAGCAAGTCCATGTGATGGAGATGCAGGTTGTGCCACGTGTAATGTTATGGATGAGAGGATTTGGCAGGCACATAACAGGGCATATAAAAGAGTAGTGTAATCAACATTAGAAAAAATAAAATATATATAGAATAGCATTGTACAATTTTTTATGACCCCCCCCCCCCCACCCCACCCCCACAGTGTAGGGTTTCAGCAGGCTGCCAAGCCCGAGTAACTCAAGCAAGTCTGACATGATGTTGTTTACACAATTACCTTTTGGCAAGTGTTATTTCGATTGCGGGTTCCGAACTTAAGATGAGTATAGCTACCCAATCTGCAGACTGTCGGATAGATATAAGTGGTAACCATTCTCTAGAGATGTACTTGCATTGTTTTGCTAAAGAAAGGCCAAAACACCAAGTGAGATAGTTATCATCTGTGGATTGGTGGCATAATACGAAATTACACTTAGAAACAAAAATGGCACCTTCTAAAGTGGTCTATGGCCGATGCCGGTCGTAACAATCAAATTATGATTTGGAATCCACCAAGGTGGATTAATTTGATAAAGAGATATTGGATCGTGATTAGAATTTGACGGCCATGCACTAGAATGTTCATGTTGCTCAACATTGAATGAAGCAACAAGTGGATCATCATATGTCACAAAGGGAATTTCGGCTGGATGATTTTGTTTATATAGTTGCAGCTTTCACCCTACCGGCAGACCTCTGCTGAGAAACGCACTGTGCATAAGCTCTCTCCCAAGTTTCATGGGCCTTATAGGTCCAAAGAATTGGTCCATTAGCCTACAAGTTAAAACTACTGAAAGGCACAATGATTCATTCTAATTTTCATTATTGTCTCGAGGAAGAAATTGAACCACATCAGTTCAAACCACACTTACTGTGGTGACCAAAGAGGGCGGAAGATTGAATAATTTCACCACGAGCAATCATGAAAAGGGGAATGATTGAGAACAATAATCAAGAAGTCATTGAAGTATTGATCTATTGGACCTATATGGCCCTGGAGGATGCAACTTGGGAGCTCTTTTACAAGCTTACACAACAATGGCACAACTTCTGACATCGAGGACAAGTTCAATTTCAAGGGGGAGGGGATGTTCCATCTCTCCATACACATATTTTCAAGATAGGACAGATAGAATAACCTAATGCGTTTGGACAGAATTCGAATAAGACATCCTTCCAACATAACAGAGATTATCTTGATGGGTTTGGATAGAATTAGGATAAATAAGGAAAGAGGACTTACCTTGTTGGTTTCCTTTTGGGTTATATCCTTGGGTTTGTTGGGTTTCTATTGTGGGTTTGTTGGGTTCCTAGTATAGAAAATGGCTGTGTGTGTCGAGGCCAATGCAAGTCCTCATAGACACACCATCCAATCATATCGGTACAGATCATTCTCAATCTCCCTCTCTCTGAAGTTCGAGATAAATCTACATCATCCAAATTAAATGATGGTGCAGCGAGAGGGGTGTGGCCGTGCACCACATTTGGTAGGTCAAGCCCACATAAAAACCTGATCCTTCTATTATAAAAGCAAGTTACGTCAGTGGATAGAATTGTAGGTTTCAGGTTAACAAAAGATGTTGTAATTCCAATCGAGACAATGAATAAATCATTATGTTGAGCAAAAGCTCTAAGAGTCCATCCACCACGAATCTGACACAGACCATCATTCTGTTTTTCATTTTCTTGCTGTAAATCTTTTGTTTGTGCCACATGGATAGTATCTGATGAGAAAATAGAGAGAGATATATTTCTAATCCGTATTCATACAAACAGGTCTACCACATTAGAGAGAGAGAGAGATCGGCCTTTCCAATCCCCCACTCATGAAGACAGCGCCACCTAACTAGACAGAAATAGAGAGAGAGAGAGAGAGAGAGAGAGAGAGAGATATTTCCAATCCCTAGTCATGAAAATAGGTCTATCAAGCTAGATAGATAGAGAGAGAGAATGGTAATTCCAATCCTCACTCATAAAACAGGGCTATGAAGCTAATGAGTGACTGAGAGAGACAGATAGAGAGAGAAACAAATGTTGGATCACCAACCTGAGAGTTCAAACCAGAGCCCTGCTCACTTGGACCTCCACTAGGGCCCGGGCCCTGACCCACAACGGCACCTCTCTGCAACCCAACCTGCTGAGACTGTGAATGGTGCCCGAAAGAAGACGAGGCTGGCCCAAAAGATCCACTCGGCATTAAAGCACCAACTGGAGGTGGTGGCCTATGAGCTGGTACCCCAAGAGCCATGAGCCCTCCTCTCGGTAAAGGCCCGCCCAAAGGCCCGCCAGAATTAGCAGAGACATGCTGAGGAAATGGGGGGAAAGAGGGCGGTTGCCTCTTTGAATTTAGAGGCAAAGCAGGCCTTTGCTGGGGATTATCAGAGGCTGCTAAATTTGGAGGTGGGTTTAGAGATATATTGCTAGTTTGGGGTTGTTGGGTTTGAGATTGGATTTGGATTTGGGCTTGGGTTTGGGAGTGGATTTGGGATTGGATTTGAATTTGGGTTGGATTTGGGTTCGAGGAAGGAAGAGGGGGTTCGGTTGAAGAGGGCGAAGAAGAAGATGGGGGTTGGGGTGGTGTTGCTTCTGGCTCCATTGCTCAGTGGAGGGGGAAAGGGTTTTGGGTTTTCACAGGGATGCTTTCAAATGCATGCAGAGAGAGAGAGAGAGAGAGAGAGAGAGAGAGAGAGATTGAGAGAGAATCCGCCGTCTGTAAAGTGGGCGAGGGGAGAGCGTAGAGAGAGAGAGAGGAGGAATCTGATGAAGTGTGGTATTTGTGAAAGACAAGGGCCGCCCATGGGGAGGGTGATTTTGATTTAGGAATGGCGGGCAGAGTGAGAGAGTGAGACCGTTTGATGCAGGCTGGCTCAGAAAAAATCAGTTCGAAATTTCAATTTCCAAATTATTTTGTAATAGTTTCGATTCGGATTTTTAAAATCCAAACAAATGGCCTTTTAGGAAATTAAAAATCGTGACATGAACATAACTTACAATTTTTGGGGAAAAATTTTTTGGTCAAATTACAAAAAGCCCTTGAATATACATTTTCTATGCAATTTACCCCATCCAAAACCTTATAGCTCACTTTTTTCTCAAAAATATACTTTCTATGCAAATATCCGCTCAAACCAAAAAAGTTCTTTTTTTTTTATGAAAATACCCTTTCGACAAAAAAATCAATTGGCATTGACTATCAAACCCAAGTAGCACATTGCTAGAGCGTAGTATGTAACTGCCGGAGCGCACTGTCTAGAACATTTATTGTCGGAGCATTGTGACTCCAGGACAAGAACTGCCGGAGCGCCCTATTCAACTGTCGGAGCGCCGTATCTCCAAAACAAGCACTGCCGAAGTGCGTTTTGTAAATGTCGGAGCGTATCATCTCCAAAACATGCACTGCTGGAGCGCATGTGTCTCGAGTGCCAGAGAAATGTCTCTTGAGTGCAGGAGAGCCTTATGCAACTGCCAGAGCACTATGGCTCGAAAACATGTATTGTCAGAGTGCCTTTTGAGATTGCTGGAGTGCATTGTCTCAAGAATGTGTACTGTCGGAGCGCCTTCTGCTACTGCTGGAGCGCTGTGTCTATACTGCTGGAGCGATGTGACTCTAGAGCATGTATTGTCGAAGCGCCCTATGCAACTGCGGAAGCGATGTGGCTCTAGAGCATGTATTGCCGGAGCACCCTTTGAGATTACCGGAGCGCATTTCCATCAAAAAAAATGAAATTTTTTTGTTGGGGGGTATTTGCATAAAATATATACTTTTGGAAAAAAAGTAAGAGAAAAGGTTTGGATGGGAGTAAGTTGGAGGGTCGTAATTTTCCCAAATTTTTAATTCAATAAATTAGGGGTGTACTAGTGTGTGAAAATCTACTTGAAAATTAGTAGATGATTATTTTTCATATAAAATTCTCCATTTTGATTTCATAAGCACTTTTGCTTATCTGAAATTTAAATAATTCTTAACCAATCTTATAATATTAGTTTTTGAAGTGCATAATGCTTTGTATACTCTATTTTATGTTGTTGGTTCCTAGGTTGAAAAGGTTGTATCCTAAAATTTCAAACTATACTCCACCATATTGCTTGAGAGTGAAAACGCAGCAACTGGAGCATAAAATATAGCATCGTTTTTCATACAAGAGAGGATTTGAGAAACAAACGTCCCATATTATTCAGGAGCTGTGGATTATGTTGCTTCACTCGTTAGGTACGACTCGCACCTATTCTCATATGCTAAGTTTTTCAATTTTTAGAGGAAAATAGTAAATCGCCATAACATTGGCATGCTTTCTCTTTCAAAGCAAACAAGGAAACATGATGCTAGTTTTCTAGATTTAAGAAGAAAAAAAAAAAAGCAAAATGATTGTATGGAAAAAGTTTATATAGAAGTGATGCTCTAAACGATCAAATTTGAGTCTACCTCAATTTTTTCACTAGTTTTCACTAGAGGAGGTTGTTTTGATGCTCAAATATCTTCAAATTGATCATCTCGACATTAAGATACATGGGCATGAGAAAAAATGGATATCAAGTTGTGGAAATAATATATTTTGTAACGCATTTTTTGACCGTCAATTTTCAAGATTTTCAACTTTTCATAGATTCGCTAATTGAGACTATTTTTTAAGCTTTAAACTTTATAAATAAAGATAAAGATATATTTTAAGGCTATCACAAAGATTTCCGGTATTGAAACCATATTTCTCGAAGCTATTTCAAGGTAGGCTCTAATTTGATTATTTGCTCTATACAAACTGCACATATGTTAGTGAGGTATTTCTGGTCTATCAAACTGGAAAATGTCATGTAACATAAAAAAAAAATATCTCCTAAAACTGAAGGGGTAATATGCTATAAGACTGGCAATTTTTGGTATGAGGATATTACAAATATCATTAGCATCCGATAGCTTAAAGTGTGTCATGTGTGTCGTATGGTTCGAAAATATTATTATTATTTGAACTTTGTGTCCAGTCAATGGCATACCCCTAGCCATCGGATTTCACATCCAACAGTCAATAATGATTGTGACTAAATAGTCCTATTATATACACTTTCTAAATCAAATAACTAAATATATCATTATATAAAAAAAATTTGAAATCAAAATGGAGTATATATTGTAATATGAAAGTGCAATTGATAATATTATTTTCTCCCAATCAAAAGAACCTCAAAAAAATATAAGGATCCCAATAGGGCGTTTGATAACCAAGAAAATCAAGAAAAGTCCTGAAGTTTCTCCATTATTGTGGCTTTCCTCAATTTGATAAGGAGAAAGCTACAAGGTATTAGGATACTCCGGAGGCCAAGTTTCCCCTAAAATGGGGAAATATGCGATCGTAAGCACAAACAAACATGCTTCTCCTAGAGCCTAGGAGAACTTACCCCTCCCTCTCCTATAGTGGCCTTCTCCTTCTCTCTCTCCCTGGATTGGAGTTTCTTGAATATATAGATTTTTTTTTCTAAAAATTGGATAGTTCTTATTTAATCTTGAAACGTTATTCTTTTTTAGGGACATAATTTTTGTGGATTATTTATTATTTATTCTTGAGATTATATCGTTAAAATTTTGGAGATTTCCCTGAGGGAGCAAATGAACATTATGCTCCCAGGGAACATGAAATATTGTCACTTTAATTTTTTTTTCCAAAGGAGGTGGTCCCTATAATCATCATCATGGAGCTAGAGCACATAAAAAAATATATAAATTTTTTTGGCCGAGATTCCAGCTGGTTTTGGGTCACTAAGAAACGTGACATTGGATTTCTCGTGAGTTTTCCTATAAAAAATGGTTTGAGTGAGAGAGAGTGTGTGTATGGATGGGGAGCTCTATTCTATGTAAAGCTTGTGGATCCCCTGGAACATTATTTATAGAATAGAGCTCCCCATCCCAAATTTTTCTTTTTACATTCCAGGGATCCATAAGCTTTACATAGACCCAAAGTGGATCACAATCTTTGAGGAGGGGGTTCTGGTTCATTTTCCCAAAAATAATTGAAATCATTACATGTTTGGTAAAACTTATGGGCAGTTTAACCTTCACATAGTCAAACTTTCAATCAATAGACAGTCTCCATATTACTATCAAATTCATAATTTCTTTTACAGTAGAAAATGTGATCCATTTCACTTGCATCCATTGATGCATATTACATTAGTCAAAATAACATTCCAACACTAGTAAATAGATGTTGCATTCACAGCAATGGGAGTGAAAACTTGATACTTTCCATCACTCCAAGTTATAGACCCAAAAACAAAGCTTCCATTGCTAGGTTTCTTCACTGTCAGATCCACTCTAAAAGTTTGCTTCTCCCCAATATGACTAAACTTAAGTTTTGACGGTGCAATCGAAATTTGAACACCCCATGGCAGCTCAACAGAGGGAAGATATGTTGATCTAGAAGTGCCATAATTCGTGACCGTTCGATAAACTGAAACTCTTCCACGTAGGTTTGCCACCCCAATTGATGGGTAGTTGAGATTGTAAGCTTCAACCAAACCGATTTTGCAACAAATAGCTTCACCGGTGAGATTTTGAAGTTGTTCTGGTGTTGCTCCACTGCCACACAAGAAAGTGATGATGTCTTTGGTGTCGAAATCATAGACCAAACCAGGGTCTATAGCTGCAAGTGGGTTCAAGTGGCCTGAGCCCAGGTCAAATGGGCTTGTTGATGAGCCTTGAGGGTCTCTTAGTATGGAGCCCTTGGTGTTATCTAATCTAGTAGCTGTAAAGTTCCCAAGAAGCAAACATATGAATGTGGAACTGTGGATCATTAAAATTCTGTCTGTATAAGTTATGGAGAATAAGTACATATATGATGTTGATAAATAGCCTGGAAATAACATGGGGATGTCCTCAATCAAAGGAACTGAATATAGAGAGAAATAGAACAAAATAGAGAGAAAAAGAATTCCCCTTTATTTATATAACCTCTTGATGTGAGCACAGAAAAAAGAAGGCATTGGTTCTTAAACACTGTACCTGTGGTCATCAAAGCTGATTTTACAGCCATGGCGCTCCAAGAAGGATGGTTTGCTTTCACAAGAGCTGCAGCTCCAGACACATGGGGGCATGACATGGAGGTCCCCGAGATTATATTGAAGTTCACTGACCTTCCGGCGGCCCCCTTAGTGGCGACTGGAGACCATGCTGCTAATATGTTAAGCCCTGGAGCCGTTATATCCGGCTACAAATTAAATTTATGATCAGAGAAGCGATCACCAAAGAAAAGAGAACTGTGAATATTTTTGCAATATGGACCAAACATTAACAAAAATATCATGACTGTAACAATATAAATAGCACAAGGAAAATAAGTTTCAGAGTTCTCTAGAGCTAAAATGACTATCAAAATGATGGTAAGCTAAACCTTACTTTGATAACATCTGGGGATATGATACTCGGCCCTGCAGAAGAAAATACAGCCATCTTTGGTGCTGGTTTGACATTAAGAATTGTTGATGTTGGGTAAATTGTCGCAACCGGATTCCTGGAAATGCCAACAAATCCCAAAAAAATTCAGAAAGTTAGTTGTTAGCCCTAAACACTTGATTTATACTTATGATTAATGATTCTTGATCCATTTTGTGTATGTATGGATATTATGCGAGTTACTAACTTATCATGCTCACAATTATGTTTGCATTGCTGCCTTTTTTGCAAAACTGTGTACATGAAATGTGCTCCCATGCAATGTGGGCTTCTACAAGGGATGACAAGTTCTTCATATCCCTTAAAGCTTAGTGAGAATTATTGATGTTGCGTTATTATCAATAGGGAGATTTATTGGGATATTATCATAGTTAACTCTTTTATAGAGAATTTATAGAATAATTATTGGGACTTTACTATATTATATATTCATCATCATTATCCAAGCCTTACCCTAATTATTTTGAGTCGGTTTCATGAATCATGTTCTGTTATTCCGCTTTATCAAGAGTCACACCCTCAATCAGACTATAAGTCTTATAATATTATATATTGAGAAATTTTTATTAGGATTTCTATGTATTAATTCAAATTATGCACAATTTAAACATATGTACATTAAGAATTTTATGAATGATAAAGTTAACTCTAATATGTAATGTATAACATAATTAAAATATTAAAAGATCACTCTCGGTTTTATTGGCTTTTATTTGCAATTGCCTTTTTGATGTTTTAGAGCGTTTAGGCAAGTAACATATTTCTTTTCAAATTCAAGTTGTTAATTTTGTTTTCAGATTACACACATATTATTATCATTGAGGGAGTATTTTATCATGATAATAACATAAAGCATTAAAATATCTCTATAAACTGATTTTATGGGGATTTTTCTTTCGAATTACATGCATGTTTCTAGAGCTTATCACTATAAAATAGAGATAAATTGAATAATTGTCACTAGAGATATTTGGAAAACACACATGGACACAAACACACAACCCTCCCTTTCCCTCTCCAAACTTATTTTCTTCATCTAAAACATGCATTATGCTTATTAAATATTTGGAAGACACACACCCACACAAAAACACCTTCTGCTCAGGGTGAAAATTACAAATGGGCCGACCTGACCGGGTCAGGTCTTGACCAAGACACCGGTCCTGACAGGTCGGTCTGGATCCACCTTACCTTGACCCAACTGGCTCAAATCCGGGTCTGGGTCCTAGTAAACCATGAATCCTATATGATTGCATGGCATCCAAGTTGGTTCAACCCGATCAACCTATCCACTATATAGTAATATAAAATCATATAAAATAATATATATATATAATAAAAAATTTACACTTTTCATATATAGACCTTGACCCAACCCTACCCTGTTCCAGGTCTACCTCAGATCTAGAATTGAAGCATGTTTTGGACTTACAAAGAAAAGGATAAGTGAAACACAAACAAAGAGAAGGATTTAGCATGAGGCTTACTTTTCAGTGCTTAAATAGGTTTGAAGCTCCAATGCTTCCTCTTGGCCAATAACTGTAGCAGGAATCACAAATTGAAAGCCTACATCTTTAGCAATAGGATCTACAAGGATCATCCCAACTCCACCCCCTTCTTTAACCACTTCACTTTTTGCAGTTCTATTCTCTGTGATTTTCTCTATAGTGCACACCACGATCTTCCCAGCGATCAGCTTAGGCTCCAATGTGTTGCTTTTGCAAAAGCTATACATAATAAACCGCCAAATCAATATTATCAGCAGCGTTTTGAGACACGACAGGAACTACTCAGAGACGAGTAACTCGGTCTCGTCCAATCAATTTATCAGTATCACTCTGTCTGCTAATGGATTATTCAATACAGCACAATTCTGCAGATTGCAATAGTTTTTAACTAGCCATTGTCTATTGGCTCTGGTTTAAGTACATCAGAGAAGAGAGGGAGGGGGAGAGCAAACCTTGCATTGGCGGCAGGGATAGTGGGGAGAGGAGCAGCGCTTCCAGGTATGACACCATAAAATCCCTTTAAATCTAGTGGGTTTAATGCTTGACCCTGAAACAAAGGATGGATAATCCCATCAAATGTTACAAATAAAGAAACTACTAACCAGATTTTGAGAGTAGTGTCTTAAAATCGGAATCGGGCTCCGACTTGGCCAGTCCCTATAGTGAATCTTTTTAGTCCAAACCAACAATTCTCGAGTCGAACGATGCTATAGTAACATAAATATGAAGAAAATAGAAAATTGGGAGACAGGTGATTCTATGGTCTTTCTGCCCCGAAATCAACAGCCTCCCAATCGGATCCAACCCAAGCAGTTCCCGAGTGGGGCGGGTGAAGGTTTAATCAATTTTAGTGAAAATGAAGTAGGATCTGATCACGAGTCTAAATAATTCGAGCTCTTGCCTTGAGTATCTTGTCGTTTCCGAGGACTACATCGGAAACGAAAATTCGGTCGATGGAGCTGGCTCCTACAGTGAGGATCCATGGAGCAACATTGATCACAGTGCCCGGTAAACCAGAGTTACCAGCAGAGGCTGAAAACATATGAACACAATGTTATTTATCTTGATAACAGTCATTACAATAACGTTATGAACGTGATAAAAGCCAAGGGTCTTCCTTAAAAGGGCTATGGGTTATAGAAACTCATATCTGGGGGTCGCATACCGTTGTATAGCGATAGCATCTGATATAACGGACATGAAATTGGAAAATGAAAAGAGTGCGATAAACTTTAATTGAAGATACTTTAATTGTTTGAAAAATAACAGATTTATAAAAATATTGGGCAATATTCTTAAAAATAACGGATTTAAATAACTATAATAAATTTGAAAAGGTTATCCTTCTTTAAGTTTTACATATATCGGCCTTTACATTGTTATCTATAAGCTTCTACATTCCAAAAATACTAATTTTACTGTATCATCTGAACCATCATGTTACAACGGGCAATCCCAGGGCCGATACATCGGCCACTTCGCCCGATATAGTGGTGGTTTTACTAAAACTACTGATATAACGGCTTGTAATTGTTTTTCTTAAAATATAATTTTGATTGTTCTAACAGATATTGATTTTTCAGAACGGTCATTTATAACAGCAGTGTTAAAGCCTGGTTACAACCAGCAAGATGGTGAAAACAAAATTATTCTGAAACCATACCAGAGACCAACACCCCCTTTCGAAAGGCATGGAAGGCTGCAATTGAAATAGCATCATTGAAGAAGTCGTGTTGCGGCGGTGTGGGTCCCACTGATAGAGAAATGATGTCAACACCGTCTCGAGCTGCATCATCAAATGCGGCAAGAAGGTCCGCATCGCTGCATTGGTTGAACCAGCATGCCTGTGGATAAATATTTCACAAAATTAAATAAAAACTAAAAATTTAAAAACAGAAAGGAAAGAAAGAAGTTCAGAGGATAAAGACATGGAAATTTGCATTTCTTTCTCTAAGTTTTTCTAGTAAAAGGAATTTTTTTTTGAAGTTGCAGGTTGCTGCTACTAACAAAAACAGCAAAAAATAAAATAAAGTTTCATATATTGTCATAAAAAACCTATTAGAAGTATTTCTCCACTCCTAGTACTCATTAAAGCCTAAGCAAGGTTCACACAATTACCTAATCACAACTTAAGCAACTTAAAAGTTGTTAAAATTCTTGAATGTGGAGATCAACTTAAGGCCTTAGATGATATGAATGATTGAGTTTTGATAATTAGAAAATTCATACTGTATTTTCCCTAATCTAAAACAAATGGACTGAACTTTTGGAATACTTTTGCTTAGGAAGTAAGAAGACCTTGTATATGGCTAGCCTTGCTCCTGGTGCACCGCCCCTAGCAGTTCCTGTAGCGATACCGAGATAACTCGCATTTACTGCCGACTTTCCGGCAGCCGTGGAGGCAGTGTGTGTGCCATGGCCATCTGTGTCACGTGCAGATCGGAAGAACAATTCTCCATGAGACTCTAGAGGGCCATTCTCAGCCTCGAACCCTTGGGAGTAGTATCTTGCACCAATTATCTTCCTGTAATTCGTGAATTCAATTATTCAAACTCAATTATTTTTTGTGTCAAAATTCGCATCATCACATTTATCAAGCTCTGTAAACTGCTGTGTGTGTGTGTGGAAAGAGAGAGACATTCAAACAAATATGCCCCTTGCATTGGTAGTTTGGCATAAAAACCACTTAATAATGTCGATCCCATAGGGATTCATCCCTGACTAAAAGGCATTTTCCAATTTATTCAATTCACAATAACCAAAAAATATGAGTTCTAGCAATTTGACTTTGTTTCCTCTATGAAAATGTAAATAATTATTAACCATGAAAGGACTAGTTTCATTAACCTGTTACAATTGGCCAAGGTGAAACGCTCTCCAGTAACACATTCACCCTTGAACCTTTTCGGCACCGGACCCAAGCCAAAATCATTGAACATCTTTGATTCTGGCCACACCCCTGATAACAAAAAAGAAAAAAAATCTCATATTATTATTAGTATTTCAATAATAATAATAAAATAAAAAAATAAATAAAAATAATAATAGTAATAACAATAATAATACTAGTATTACTATTACTAATACTAACAGGAGCATCTAAAGTTTCGATTAAATGTTATGGACCAAAGAAATTCTTGAATTTTATGGAGAAATGATATGGACTTGTTTATGTTACCAGTGTCAATTACACCGATGACCACGTCGATCACGTCGTTATCACTATATGAATTTCCGGCAAGGCCACCAGGATGTACTATGCCGGGTTCAAGAAAATCCCAAGAACGTGTTGTGTGAACCTGGTTCGTCTTGCTCTCAATGACTGAAATAACTCCACTTCTCTCTGGAATAGCATGGAATATGATGGTCAGTCTCTTTCTCTCTATCAGGCAAGAATTACAGGTATTTTGAGCTTCAAGACATTATAGATATGGTGTCTACTTTCTACACTATGATGGCCTTTGGGTTTATGCTGGCAGCTCCTCAACCGTTTGATGGAAACAGTGGATGGTTGAGCATCATTCAGACTTTGTTCTGAAGCTTAGACACATCTCCACCATCCATTGTTTACTTTGGAAAGTTAAGGAGAAGCTAGAAGTGTACTGCTTCGTAACCAAAATGCTTGCAAACTGTACTTGTGCTACGATACAAAGTAAGAGCGCTGTTACAGTGCAATTAAGCGCGTGTTTGGCACATCAAGGTAGAGAAGTGGCTATAAGCGACTAAACTATGCCAATATTGCAGAAATTTCCAGAATGCCACCACTCACCCAAATATGAACTGAGCCTTTGATTAAATAAACTGGGAAATAAATAATGATTTTTTTTTTTTGAAAAGTAAACGAAAATGACTTTATAAATCATTTTCGACTTGATAGGCTAGTCGTTGATGATTACAACCCTAGCGCCCAAGTTTAATTCCGACATACTTGAAATTAAAATAATAATAATAATAATAAACTTTTCGTGGTTTGAATTACCCATTGCCTTATTACAAAAACTTAATTTGCACATCACATAGTAAACGAAATTTTAAGGCCAATGGCAGAAATCAAGCATGATTGATTTCAAAAGTAAGACTTTTTTTATGAGGTATTGAAAACTTTGAAGGGTAATTATCATAAATATCTTTCTTTTTTAATAAATTTGAACAATACCCAAATTTTTCGAGAGCTATGTCCATACCAATTAAAGTTGTTTTATAGATAGTACCGTGATGGTCCAACATTCTTTCTAGACCATCACGGACCATCACCATATTATTAGCACTGTGATGGTCATTTTAGGACATTGAACTATCATCATGATGATCTATAAAACAACTTGAGCTGCGCGAGCTTTACATAAATTATTATTATTTATATCTAGACCCGTGTCCAGGTCTGAATGACTTGGACCCAAGTGGGTTCAGGTCTGAATGACTCAGACCTGGGTCCGGGTCTGTGTAAAGCTTAATCTGGTCGGGACCCGACCCGAGCTGTTGCCACCTCTAGTGCATGAAGAGAAGGAGAGAGAGAGAGTAACCATGTGATTGGTGAAATACCTTCTTTGAAACTCAACAACTAATAAAAACACTAAAAATAAATTCATTCTTAAAAAATAATAATAATAATAAAATGTTTTTTACTTGAGAGCTTGTCAGCTTGTTGGGGTGTGAGCAGAGCCGAGAACCCTCTAAAGCTCTTGCTATAATGGTGAACAGCGGCCTTACGTGCATCTTCATCGCTGAAAATAGTAGATAAAATAAAATTATAAAAAAAATGAATAATTGGGAAATGCACAAAATGCCCATTTACATGTAATATTTAAAGTCTTTTTTTGGCATTTTCTTTTTACACTATTTTTAGACTTACACCCCGGTAATCTCTGTGAGCAACTCATAATTGGATGAAATCACGGCCTCAGTAGTTGGGTATGAGTGTTCACCCATGTAAACAATATAATGCTGCCCAAAAAAAAATCGATTATCTCATAATTGCATTGAATTGAATAAAATATTTTAAGTGTTACCAGGTAGATTAGAGTTAAAAAAAAAAGTTTCATAGAAAAAACTACTTTTTTGGTCAAATGGGAAGAACCCATGAGTTTCATGCCATGTTTTATGGATCAAGAAACATGAAATGAGAAGCAAAACGAGGAAGGAGGAGGAGAAGACATTCAAAACAAAAAAAATAGTGATTTACGTATGCACCTTAAAAGTTTTTTCTAAAATACAAAATGCTTCATTTATAGGTAAAAATTACAAAGAAGGTAGGCCAACCCATTTTTTTAAATTTTTTTTTCAAAATTACCCTCGATATGAGGACATCCTTAGATGGAATTTTAATTTTAATTTTTTTTTGTTTAGTTTATTTGTTAGTAGGGTACTACCCTAAAGCTTGGGGCACTGCCCTACAAACGAAAAACTGAAAAAAAAATAAGAATTAAAATTTAGACAGAGGATGTCATCCTCATACCGAAGGGCAATTTTGAACAAAAAATTAAAATAAAACAGGTTGACCGACCTTCAATGTAATTGCTGCCTACAAACGGAGTATTTCGTATTTTAGAAAAAACAATTTAGTGCCTGAATGCAAATCACTCAAAAAAAGAGAAAGAGAGGAAGATGAAAGAGAATAAAGAAGAAAAATGAAAAGAAAATGTTTGATTAGTACCTTAGTAGTAGCTCCATGAATGAGAGCAATGCACAAAAGCATGAGATGGAGAATCATGGCTGTTTTCATCGTTACAAGGTCACCACCAATCAAGCCTGCAAAATCACGTGCCCAAGCTTCCCATTTTTGTAGCCCCTCTCTCTCTCTCTCTCTTTCTCGCTCTCTCTCTCTCTCTAGTTGCCTGTGGAAGTATTCAAACAGTAGATTGGGGTGCCGGCACAAGACGATAAATAATTTGGAAAGTATTGCTGAGGTTTCTTCGAAACAGTAGTTCAAATTCATCTGATCGCCGTTACTGGCCGGCGTCAAGCATTTTAAAGAAGCTACAAAATGGCATGATTCCCTTACGAAATTCACAAAATGAGAGAGAGAAAAACATATGAATTTGTTGAAACAGGGTTTTAGAAGGAAAACGTTTATATAGAGCCGAAGCTCTAAACAATCAAATTAGAGCCTACCTTAAAAATTTCACTCAACTTGATCATCTCGACATCAAGATGCATGTATATGAGAAAAAAAATAGATTTTAAGTTTTGGAAATAGTGCACCTTGTAACGCATTTTTGGACAGTCTGTTGTCAAGATTTTTCAAGTTTTTACGCTATTTTTTAAAGGGAAAAGATTATATAGAGCCAAGGCTCTAAACAATCAAATTAGAGCCTACCACAAAAATTTCAATTGTTTTGATGCCCAAATATCTTCAAACTAATCATTTCGACATCAAGATGCATGGACATGAGAAAATAATGGATTTCAAGTTTTGGAAATAGTGTATTTTGTAATGCATATTTGGACCGTCAATTTTCAAGATTTTCAAGTCTTCATATATCTATCGATCTATACTATTTTTTAAGCTTTAAACTTCATAAATAAATATGACAATATATTTTAAGGCTATTACAAAGGTTTCTAGTATTGAAATCACATTTCTCGACACTATTTGAAGGTTGGCTCTAATTTGATTGTTTAGAGCCTAGGCTCTATACAAACTGCACCATTTTTTAAAACTTTAAATTTTATAATTAAAAATGAAAACATATTTTAAGGCTATCACAAAGATTATCAGTACTGAAACCACATTTCTTGATACATTTGAATGTGCGCTTTACTTTGATTGTTTAAAGCCTTGGCTCTATACAAACCGCACTCTTTTCAAATTACCAATCTATCTAGGATTATGAGGCAGAGTAGGCCAAATCGTTCCCGGCATGAGTAATATGTCCTAAACTTTTTAGTTTATCTTGTACCCATATTTAATATATTTCTTAATGAAAAATGTTGATATAAGGTTGCAAATTTAAAATGTCGAATTAAAGGTGCATCTAAAAAATCCATCATAAAAGGTTGTTTGGATATTGGGAAACCCTCTAATTGATCATCTTGACATTGAGATGTATGAATATGAAAAGAAAAAAGGATTTCAAGTCCGTGAAATAGTCTATCTTGCAACACATTATCTGGACCATTCATTTTTAAGATTTTCATGTCTTTATAGATCTACTTGATCTAAACCATTTTTAGAGTTTAAAATTTTATAATTAGAGATGAAAATAGATTCTCAAGTCATCCTAAAAATATCAAAATGACATTTATGATAAATTTTAGTAGTGTGCCTTAATTGAATTGTTTAAAGTTACAACCTTATGCAAACCACTCTTTTTTTTTATATAATTCAAATTTTAAATTGGCTTTATACAAATTTTCACTTTTTTCTTTTGATCCTTTTTTTTTTAAATTTCTCCCAGTTCCGTCCATCCAGATTGATACTATGAAGGATCGATCGGATGATCCTCGTTTTAAAACGCTAGTTAAAGACTTAAAGGATAGGGAAATTGCTAAAACCCCCCCAAGGTGGATTTTTTACCCACTCTACACCCCACAGAACTTTTCCTAGCAATCCCCCCCCCCCCCCCCCCCCCAAAAGTGATGTTTTCTAGCTAATACCCCTTACATAAAAAGTTCACTTATTTTGGACGAAAATACATTTCCCTCACATAACAAATTAGTTTCATTACAGAGGGCAATCTGGCATTTTGAACAAGCGATCCGGTGATTTTTTTTTTTGGCTGGAATCGGTGTTCCGGCGTTTCATGGTAGCGGTCCAGCGTTTCATGGTGGTGGTCCAGCGATTATTTTTTGCTGGAATGGGCGGTCCGACATTTGGAAGTTACAGTCCGGTATTTTGAAGTTGCGGTCTGACATTTTGAAGGGGCAGTTCGGTGTTTCGATATGGCAGTCAGGAATTTTGTAGGGGCAGTTCGGCATTTGAAGTACGCCAGACTTAGCAGTCCGGCGTTTCTTTTTATTAAGATCAGAAAATGATTTGTCATGTGAAGGGAGGGTATTTTCGTCAAAAAAGATGTAACTTTTTGAGTTGGGGGTATTATTTATAAAATATGGTTTTTGAGAAAAATAAGTAACAAAAGTTTTGGGGGTAGAGTGCGTAAAAAGTATATTTTTGAGAGTTTTTAGCAATTTTCCCAAAAGTATATCCGTTGGTATCCCAATGTTAACTGTCATACTTCCATTCTATAAATCAATAATTTTACCTAGATTTCAACCATGAACCTTTGCAATATTTTTATATTTTAACTTTTTAAAAATAAATAAAATCCAAAACAACTATGGTGATGAGAATGGCGACTAGACCTACCTCAAAAAAAGAAAGGACAAGTTTATATAGCCGAGGCTCTAAATGATCAAATTAGAACATATCTAAAAATATTTACTAGAAGAGGTTATTTTCAAGCCCAAATATCTTCAAATTGATCACCTCAACATCAAGATCATGGACATGAAAAAAAAATGGATTTCAAGTTTTGGAAATAGTGTATGTTGTAACGCATTTTTAGACCGTTAATTTTTAAGATTGTCAAGTTTTTATGGATCTATAGATCTATACTATTTTTTATGCGTTTATAAATTTACATATAGATCGACATCTCGATCTATTTTTTATGCGTTTATAGATCTATACTATTTTTCTATAGATCTATATGTAAATTTATAAACGCATTTTTCATACATCTCAATGTCGAGATGATCAATTAGATGGTTTTTCAACATTAAAACAACTTTTTTGGATAGATTTTTGAGGCGCATCTTTAATTCTACATTTTAAAGTTGCAACCGTATATAAACTTTTTCCATTCTTGATTAGTTTTCTTTTCATACTAGTTAAGTTGCATGCATTTGTCACTGTATTAGTCTCTTCTCTCTCTGTGACAGCATGAAGTGGTGGTTGGATGAAATAGAAATTCCTTATATGCAGTATGAGGTTTGGCTCTTGGTTTAGGAATTTAATAAAAGAAAAAAATAAAAATATAGGCTTAGGATTTTTATAAGAGAACAAGGGGTAGTGGCCACAAGTGGCACAAGAGAGTGCCTGAATAATTTGCTTAACCAGCGGAGGATGGTATCATTCATTTAAATACTGCTAACTCTTTTTCAATATCTAATTTCTTCATTTTTTTAACGATGAAACCAAGAATTGACTTTCATTTTATTTTATTTTTTTTGACAATGATGAATTGACTCTTTAGGAGCGATTCCGACTCTGATTCGCAATTTTTTGGAAACTAATATATATATTTTTTATGCTAACAATGAGCAATAAACACATGCCATAAAAATAAAGAGAGGCTATATCTCTAGAGTGTATATGTCAAGGACATTTTGTGAATCACGTAAGAAATAATCCCTATGGTGCCTAACTAACCTATAAAAAATAGAAATAATAGTTTTAAATAAATAAAATAACCAATATAGCACCAAAATTTGTACAGATAATTTGGAAATTTTATTTTATTTTATTATTTTTATATTTTTTACATATGTGTGTTAGTGTAAAAGGATGAGTACACAACTTTTGAACTTAATCTGACGTATAAAAAACATAAAATAAAAATACGACATGTTATCTTAAACAATGTGACATGAACATTGAACATACAATATTGTGGTGATTTTTTAAATTTCAAAAAAAATATGGAAGATATTTACATAAAATTCCTATTTTTTTACATGAACCCTGCCAAAAGAGGGGATGTCCCAAAACTTATCTAAAACTGATTTACAAAGAAAAAGATTAAATATTAAAGTTTGAGCCATCCAATCAAAACAAAAGCTAAATTATGTCATTACAGCGTTCCTTGAGAAAATGATTTGTCGATATTGTTTACTTAGAAGCTAAATTCAGTATCATGAATTAATTTAGTCAATGTTTTGTGACAATTTGACATTCACATCAGTTTTAATTTAGGGTGTTCATTTTTTTGTTTATTTGGTAAATTTTGGTTCTAATCTAAAGCGCACCTTGAAATAGTGTTGAAACAGTGTTGAAACATGTTGTTTTAATGTCAAATATCTTTGTGATGACCTACAAATTTATTTTCATCTCAAAGTATAAAATTTAAAGATTAAAAAATAGTTAAGATTTAACAGATATATGAATACTTGGAAATCTTGAAAATTGACGGTCTAAATAAAACATTACAAGATGCACTATTTCTAAAACTTGAAATCTATTTTTTCTCATGTTCATACGTCTAGAGATCAAGATAATCGAATTGAAGGTTTTTTAGTTTTGAAACAACCTCTTCTAGTGAATTCTTTAGGCCTCACCCTTATATAAACTCTTTCCTTTGAAAAGAAATTTTTAAGCCTCACCCTTATACAAACTCTTTCCTTTGAAAAGCTATGCATTACATTTCTTTGCTTATCTCACGATAAAATGGCGAGGTTACTTATGTCACAAGAAAATGGCGAAAAACTAATTTTTTCAGTGAAAATGTTGCTTGCCTCATTGGAGCATCAGGTTCCCTATCTCACAAGAAAATGGCAAGAAACAAATTTTCATTTTGACAAATAAGCAAATTATTTTCAGGGAAAATATTGCTTACTTCATTCGTAGCACCAAATTGATGGTTTTGTGGGGCCTTGAGTACTATATATGGATAAGGGAGTACGACCTCTTTCTTCTCCTAATTTTTTAACTCTCATCAATAAAATATCTTTGCTTAAGAGTTATTTTGATTTGTTGTATAAATCCACTGATAAATTAGCCAAAAA